GCATGCCCTTCGACCCATATATTAAAATTAACCGTACATAGCCTATTCTTATACCAAACGTGATTAATGCTTAATGACATTGTGTATTTTATATCAGCCTTCTACATTTGATTTGAAGCTTTCGCGGCGACGTAACTCAATAAAATCTTCTAGGGGGATCAGCCGCGTCAAATGGCTAAAATACGAAACCCACGTTTCGGAGACCATCTCTGTCCCCATCATCAGGGTTCTGATGTGCAGAACCCACGACGGGGCGAGCCGGGCATCTACTACAGTGAGCTGTAAAAGCTGTCCGACTATACGCCATGTAGGCGCTTGGGGGTGAGTGGTCAGCATCACGCCCCGGCCGCGCTTTACCCCCGGGAAAGGACCCCAGTACCCATTGGATAAGAGGCTAGGTGGCCCCAGAACCGGTCTGGACGCAGAGGCTAGAGGAAAAATCCTCTGTCCCCGTCAGGGATCGAACAACGGTCGTCCAGTCCATAGCCAGTGACTATAATGACTGAGCTACACGTCCTCGAATTAAACCATACACGGCAGCAAATGGAGCGTGTGTAGAAAAACTGGAAGGAACAAATATGAAGGATCAAGTGGTAGAGAAAGTCCTTAGATGTGTCCTTTGTGTAATAAAGGAGCAGACACGAGCCACACACTGAGATGTGAGAAATCTAGATGTTGGAGAAAAGAGCTTACTGACAAAAGATTCACGGGTATTGAGCCAGAAACTGGAATAGGAATTACAGCTACAATTAAAGATATTGACAACCTGCGACAAGTTGGGCTATATTCAAACAATTATATAGAGAAATGGATAAAAGCAGTGATAAAATGTGAGGAGAAATAAATAATAAACTGGGAGGGGGGAGGGGTTTAGGAAAGATGAGAGTTCAAAATGAAAGGAGGGAATGCAAAATTATAAAAGTAATATAAAGATATTTAGAAGCGTGTGTAAGACCATGGAATCGTGTCCAACAATGCAAATTGTAGCCAAACAATTTGTCGTCAAAAATGACGTCATCAAACAATGTTACGCCAATTGTTTATCCGGCATTGTTGTGGAACCAGATAACCAGATATATAAACCTCTAACATACTGATTGTTAAAGGATGCGGTACATATAGTTACCACTTGGCGTTAAAGGGTAAATTGGAATAGTTCCTATTATACCTTTCTCTTAGATAATTAACACAAAATTCCTACTTCCATTTTTCTTAAAGCTGGTTAGAGTCGTAGCTTAAATGAGTACTGAAAAAATATGAAAATTATTATCATTATTATTTACAGATTATTTAATGACGCTTCTTCAGTAACTCAGACTATACAGCATCGAATGAGAGAATGACAATAAACAAAAAATTGTAAAGAATGTGGGATGAATCACACGTCGCCTAATTTAAGGTATTCTCTCGGCATTAGCCTGGACGGACTGAATAAAACCACCAATTACCCCCCACCCTCCCAAACAGGATAGAAAATTTTCCGATCCGCGATTTGAACCTTTGAGCACCCAAGCAAAAAGCAGGACTGCCGCCATGTTATTATTTACATTATTGGAATATGCATTGTAACTGTTTGCATACGTAACAATGAAAAGTTTCTGAGCATTGTTGAGGCCATTGAATTGCTGTTGACACGATCGAGCAAAGAATACGTAACAATGCATAAATGCGTAAATTCGCATCCGTTTAATTGTTGACTAATCACCGCGGTCATTCTGTTATAACAGGACTTCCGGGCGGTTATGTCTCGACACGTGAGGTTAGCGAATCAGAGAGTTTAAGTGTTTACCATGGATAAGACCGGCTCAGTGGGCAAATCTATAAGGAAGCAATGTAAAGCAATGGGAAAACAAATTAGAAGCAGCAAACCCAAAAAAGCAGGAAAAAAATTGAAGAAATTGCTATTCCTGGGAAAAAATGTGAGTACCTACTGCCTTCACTTTATGACGTGTGTGTGCCCCAGAAATTCTCAATGCAGTTTGTCAGAAAATAAAATTTCTGTCACAGAATGTCTGCAATGAAGTTTACGCTCACCTAACGTAATACGAAGAGAAAACTGATATCCATTTTAATATTATTCTTCCATCGATGTCTAGGCCCACCAATTTGTCTCTTCCCTTCAGACGTTTGTACCAGAGCTTTGTGTAGGTTATGTGTCATCTCCGTAAGCATGCTACATATTCTGCCAATCTTATTTTATTTCATTTGAACATCCTAAATTTCCCAGTTTTATTAACTTTCTCTAATATCTTCGTTATTTGCTGTTGTATTAGTTATTTAATTTCTTGACGAAGGTCCTCGTTTACGCCTCGAAGCCACTGCGGACTTACAAATAATTACTTTTTTCTTATAAAATCGGTACTGCGCTATTAGGTAGGCCCACGCAAGTCACACCTAAACAATGGAATTTAATAAACCAGTTCGTTGTCCGTACTTGAGTTTTCATTGTTTAATCAGACATTTTTTTTTTAGAAGTCGTCCAGATCAGAAGGAGAAAAATCATCCACTTATAGGTAAGTGATGTGGACTTCAGTAAGAGACAGTCTCTTAATTTAAACACATGAGTTGCATCAACTCTTTAAGCTATTGACTAACATACAGCAAACGTCGATGGCGTAATTTATATAACGCTTCACTGTTGAGCACAATACGTGGTCACAAGGAAAATCTTGTTACGTACACACCTCAGCGTTTCGCATAACAATTAAGTTTCAGAATTAAATTAAAGCCCTAGAAAACATTTTTCGATGGACTTGTCTAGCGATTGACTGTCGCCTTTCGGATCTACCGGCCTCATTTCATCTAGAATTACGCATTAGATGTTTGCCTCGGGAGTTTGTTGAGATAGTTTGCTGAAATCGGCTACGACCGCTTCCTGACTTATAATATTAAATTATTAATAGGCGAAATCTGAAATGACAGTGTGAGGACAACAGTTACATTTTCAAAAATGTATGCAAACATGAGAATCCAATCAGCCCCCAGTGTAGTAGAGCAGGAGTGTCATACAAAAACTGCAACTGCAAAATTTGTTAATCTTGGAGACATGATCGTGGATAAATCTTTGGTTTCTTCTTGCTTAAAAATATAGGCACAGGAGTGGCCAAATATTTTTACGACGCGAAGTCAAATTGGCGAATACATAAGATTTCCTCCTGAACAGACAACGCACGGAAATATACAGACTTTTCCATATTTTGTAAATTATTCTCAAGTTTTTTGGCTGAGTTCGGCAAGACGAAGAGTAAACACAAAGATTGCTCTTATTGAAGAGATAATCCCGGAAAGACTTTTTATTAATTGTTTTAACATTTTTAATATTGATCACGAATTTAGATCAGTGAATATATATATATAGATGATTAATGTTATTGTGATTTTATAGAATTCTATAATTTTTTTCTTATAAAGTTTATTCATTTGCTACATCACACGCGCATTAATGCATAAAATTAGATTATAATAAAATCAGGAATACGCCTGTCCATCGAAGAGTAAAATATTTAGAAATGTAAACGTAAGAACATGTGGAAATTTGTGTTAAATTAGTTTTGCATTTCCTGTGGGATTTCATAAATAATTATTTCTGTCATTACGATGCAGAGTAATGATTTTTAATTCGTTTAATACAGGTCAGCAACACTATATGATGATGTGGGCAGTAGTTCAGCTACGCAAGGTTTTGACAGTGTACACCTCAATGAACAAATTCAGAGTATTTATGACGTTTATCGGGCAACCAAAATGAGGAGGTGTACAGCCTTTGAAGAAGACTGTGTAGCCGTCAGATGGGAACGCGATGCTCTGAAGAGAACAGTAAAAGAGCTGGAAATTAAACTGCAGGCCACTCAAGAAACACAAAAGCAGAGGAATCTTTATTTAGAAGAGGAAATTTCTAGACTGAGAGCCGAAAATAATTCCTTTAGAGCTAAAGTTCAAAACTTCCACGACGCGCGCACTACCGAAACGTCTGAAATGCTCGATGAATTCGGAAGACAGATCAGGGCCTTAGAGGATCAGGTGGAGGTAGTAGAAGTATTGGCGACTGAACGAAAGTTCATTGAAGCAAATAGTGAGCTTCCGCAAGTGAAAGACGAGATGAGCATTTTTGAAGATACCAGAAAGCAACTGGAATCGACAATTGACGACCAGATGGCAGAAAACGAGAAGCTAAAAGCGAATTTGCAGGAGCTGGGGAGGGCGCTCATTGCTGACAACAAAACCATGATTGAGGAGTGTGTACAGCAATCTGCAGAGATGCAGGGGCAATTGCTGCGTAAAATAAGCGAAGTTGAGTGTAATTATATCAGTTTGAACAAAGACTGCTTGCAATTGAGAGACGAAAAGTCTATTTATGAAGCGTGCAAGCAGCAACTGCAAGAAACTTTAAATGACCAGATTAAAGGGCTATGTGCTGAGACACGGGAATTAATTGCCCACGTTTGTCATGACGAAAAAAGAATTGCTATCAAAACAGGAGAACTCAGGAAGGAAATCAAAGAATGTTTTCATAGTTTAGATCAGCAAGCACATTTTGAACTTGATCTCATTAAAAGCAAGTACATTAATCTAAAACACGAGATGTATCAACTGGCGGAGGAAATGTCAAAGTCCAGACAAAGAGAAAATGCAGTTACTTGTGAATTGGAGGATCGTATAGACGTTCTGACTTCAGTGGCGGCACGAAAACGGGAAGAACCAAGAAGTGGTGGAAATTCCGTTCCTCCGGGAAAAATGTGAGTATAAACTGCCCTTCTCCCATTGTGCGAGCTGTCATTTTAGTGTTCTCATAACTAAGAATGTCAATTTGGGCCCCTCCGGTCAATCCCTTAGAAAATGTAATTCCTGTCACAGAATATTTGCAGTTGCCTCTAGGTAGGAAGGCGATAAAATATTCAAATATTTAATTTCGAACGTTTGTGGTGTTTGCGGGATGGCAGGCGTTAAGTGGTGTAATTTTCCACAGCGATTTTACCAACGTAAGCTCCAAATCGATTAAGCTGAAAAATCAGTTAATGTTCCTCATCCTTTTTCTTTTTCGCAACGCACGAGGTGTAACTGGTAATTTTTGCCTCGCTGTGATTCTCTTACGAACGCCAGTGTAGATTTTGATTCATAGTTCAAGAACAATGTTTAATGACGTGATTTTTTTGGAGAATTAAATGATAATTCTCATCTTCTCTGGATTTCATACTGAGTCCGATAAACGACCGTTTTACTTTGATGTAACTTTGTATCGTATGTCACGTGGTACACACAAAATTGTTGTAATTACAGATCGATTAATTGTTCATTTGTCTGTAATTCTTGTCGCTAGTGGAATATACAGAAGCAAAGGCCGGCATAAATCCTTAGCGTCAGATATAAAAAAGCAAGACGTTTATCTCAAAGATTACGAAGTGAAAGCACTAAAATGGAATACATATGTGGTTGGTTGCGTTGAATCTGAGGTCTCCGAATCTTCCAAAGTCTCTCTTTGACAGTCTGAGCTTATGTGTTGTTCTGATGGTTTTCAGAAAGACGACGCCTACAAGGATTGCTTAATGGCGTTAATCGATGTAATAAAGATAAGATATCGATTCTCTGAGTTCGAGAAGAACGTACTAGCGTCGAAGGCAGAGTTGAATGATGAGAAAAAGAAACACGGCGACTGAATGAATTACACGATATCGCTCTAATGAAGTCGCAAAATCCGCCGGTATATACTTCAGGATATCACCATGAGCGTCCAAGGACTTGTCAAAAGTGCCTCGACGGCAAAGGAATTTGTTGCTCCCGCAGGAGAACACTTTGAAGGGAATTTTTCCATCTCGTGAGGGTTTACGTTAAAGTGTTTAAGGATAAACAGGCTTAAGCTAATTTTAAACTCAATTACAATCATAATTCCGTAGAAAATAAACATTCCTCTTACAGGTTAAACACTCGAAATCGTAATTATTAAGAAGCCTGATCGTTGATTTCAATTCCAGGTCGCCCTTCAACATTTCAGTTTTAGTTCAGCGTTCTTTTGTTTGTATTTCCTCTTGATTGGTTACCTACATTTTATTTATATTTGTATATTTAATTACCTACTCCAGTTCCAATACATTGAAGATCATGGGAATATAAATTTGAGGTTATGACGGCGGTAAGTTTGAAGGTGGCCGTCTGCTTTGTTTGTACGCCACATCACCTGACAGAATTCTGCCGACGTTTCAGAAGTCCTGTTTGCCTCCTAGGGAATGTCCCATGACAGAGTGAAAGGAAAGGTCTTTATGGATGCAGGGTCGGACCGCAGGTTTCCTAAAAAGGGCCGTCGGAAGGGGGGAAAGGGAGGAGTCAGAGCCAAGGGACTTGACTGGGAAGAACATAGTTTAATGCATTTTCTGTCTATTCATATTTCCCCTCCCCCCTGCCAAGCCGTTGGCCAGACTGAGGTTTGTTCGTCGCCCCAACGGCACCCTTGCCCTTACCCATTTTTCGGGATGTTGCAAGTACCTCTGAAACGTCGGAGTAGTTCTACCAAAATACACGGCACTGCAGCTAGGAATGGAGCTATCTTGCTCCTCACAGCCGTGAGAACTTAAACGTCCAATCCACTTATGACTTCCTATGGTAATAGAAGACCTTCGTTTAAATTATTCCTATTAATGTTATCACTAATGGCAATTTTAAAATTGTCGCGTTTAATGTTATCACAACAAAATAAAATTATATTTTATTGTCAAATTATAAAGTGTATCATAATATCATTAAATTGCCTTATTATTTAATAATGCCTCTAAGTACGTCCTTTAAATTTAAGCATTTTTTACTATTAAATGGAAAAGCACTTCAAACTGACAAAGATCGAAAAATCACTTACAAAATGAATACTTAATTTCTGGTATTATTAAATATCATAAATTAAATCATAACATTTATAATAAAACAACTACTTGTTTCTATTCCACCTACATAATCGCTTATTCCGCCCAAGTGAAATATAAAAATTGTGAATAAGGTAAGCGTCAATTATAGAATAAACTTAACGCCACAAACTGCAATCATTCTTATTTTATGTACAATAATTACTATAGACGTACATACTTTTTTTCCAAGAAAGTTTCTTTATGTCTTAATAGCAGTAATGAACCCTACATCCATTCATCGTAATATCATACAGAATATTAATCTGCAGTAGAAATGCGATAACCCATAAAGAAATAACCGCTGTTTATTGTGAGAATCATACGATACGCAGATATACAAAACTCTAACATACTGATTTGTTAAAGGATGTGGTACATATAGTAACCAATTGGCGTTAAAGGGTAAATTGGAATAGTTCCTGATATACCTTTCTCTTAGATAATTAACATAAAGTTCCTACTTCCATTTTTCTTAAAGCTGGTTAGAGTCGTAGCTTAAATGAGTACTGAAACAATATGAAAATTATTATTACTATTTACAGATTATTTAATGACGCTTCTTCAGTAACTCAGACTATACAGCATCGAATGAGAGAATGACAATAAACAAAAAATTGTAAGGCATGTGGGATGAAGCAGACGTCGCCTAATTTAAGGTACTAGAGCTACGGGCTCTTTTCGGAGCGCTTTCTCTACAGTCCTTCCCGTTCTTTGTCGATAATTTCCCGATTTCGTCTATCAGTTTCTGTTGATATTTAATAAAAGAGCAAAAAGTGATAGTGGAACCACGGTTCCGGAGAATCTGACTTAAATACGTCTCTGTATTTAAATTATATTTAGGCAATAAATACAATGAAAGGAAGGGGGAGTTTGGTTTAGTGTCTTACTCAAGTGTTGTGATTTGTCGTCGTCGCCAAACAATTTGTCGTCAAGAAATGACGGCATCAAACAATGTTACGTCATTTGTCTACTCGGCATTGTATTACCAAAACTTGCTAAACTAGAGTAAACAAATGACGCTTCACAGCGACGAGATCACCAACTACAAAGACAGTCGCTTGATCACTGCTCCAGAAGCAACACATCGCATTCTTGAAAATGAATTGATTCGTATGTTGTTGTTTATAGTACCAAGGAGCAAAGACTCAAACGTCTTTCGACAATGAATCCATTCGTTGAACCCTTTGTCTATCCCCTTCTGTTTCCTTACGGCATAATTCGATGGCATAAAGACCTCAAACTGAAAGATGCTAAAGTTCGCGATCGTTTAACACGAGGAATGTTCGCTCGCTATAGAATCGCTACTCGTGAAAACGAAATTAATCCAATCACAAAAAGTGGGAAACTTTTCCAACGATATTTGGTTGACACTGAAATTAAACGTGGAAAAGATGTTTATAACTATTTGAGGTACCAACAAGGTAAACGTGTAGATAAGTGCAGCATTTTGAAAGCAAGCTTGGAAAAGCTTGCAAAAGAAAAGAACAAAAAACTGGGGCACATTAAAGTTTTGAACTCATAGTTCGTTGGATCACCACGTTAAATGTTGGAACTGTACCAAGACGCAATGGCAATGGTCGCTGCTTTCGGCACGCCATGTTTGTTCATCACCATTACGACCAATCCTAATTGGCGTGAAATTCGCGAAAATCTCGAAC